TATTGAATAGCGGTTTCTCTAGTTGTCACATACCTATCATACCCCACTATATGTTCGAAAACTATGGTGTATAAGAGAAGTGAGTCATTCATATATTAAGAAATTAATTTAGATAGGGAAATGAAACTGCATCTGTCATCATTAATGAAAATGTGAAGACAGAAGATCAGTAAACCTCACTTGTTTTTTTTCTTATCTTCCTCAGGTGCAGCTTTCAGTGCTGGATTGACAGGAGGAATCAGTACTTCTATAGCCGTCTTCTGTCATGAACTGCCACATGAATTAGGTAATATAACCTTAAAAATTTTACCAGGTCCCGTCAAATCTAAGACTTCCTTAATTGTAATTACACTCAAATTTTAGAGATGTTCAAGCATAAAAAATGGCTGATGGCAACTATAATGTCATTAATTGTTAGATATATCATGATGTTAAAATATGAAAAAAAAAATGCTCCTTAAGATGGATGAAATGTTTCTGTGTGCTTTCCTTTGCATTTAATAACATAATTATGCTATTATAATGAAGATTATAGATTATGACTGGTTCACTAGGTAAAACTTTTAAAAAGAAGTACTTCTGAATTTAAATGCCACATTTTGATGTTAATCTACTTTGAATTTATTTCATATATAGACCATATTTTTAAAAGAATCATGGTAAAGTTTGCAATTACATCACTGAAAGGCAGATACATCTAGGAATGAATGTAAGATTTGTGGGTATTAAGATTATGATATTAAAATATATATAATGAAAATAGAAATCATCCAACCTTCTTACTTCATAGATAAAATAAGAGCTTTGGAAATGAGTAATTACTCTAAAACCTTAGTGCTGGTTAGTAACAGAGTTACTTTTTTTTTTTTTTTTTTTTTTTAGTAGAGATGAGGTTTCTCCATTTTGGTCAGGCTGGTCTCAAACTCCCTACCTCAGGTGATGCACCTGCCTCTGCCTCCGAAAGTGCTGGGGTTACAGGCGTGAACTACCATGTCTGGCCCTAATTTTTGTATTTTTTAGTAGAGATGGGGTTTTGCCATGTTGGCCAGCCTTCATTATTTCTTCATAAATAATGGAAAGTTAATACTGATATTTAAAAAGATTATCTGGATGGTTATTAAAGATAGGGTTGCATTCTGAACTCTGTTACTAACCAGCACTGAGATTTCAGAATAATCATTCATTTCCAAAGCTCTTACTTTATGAAGTAAGAAGTTTAGATGATTTCTGTTTAAGTTATATGTATTTTAATAATATAATCTTAATACCCAAATCTTGTATTTGTTTCTTATGTGATTTTGGTAGCGTGGAGCTGAACACTCGAAAAATAATCTTTAAAATCCTGTATTTTTCTTTTTTCATTTTAGAACATGTTTTCTTGATACACTTTCAACTGTAGTGATTATATATATCATGTTGGACTTGATTCTATTTTTTTTTTTCAAACACATTTCCCATTTGCCCTTAGAAATGAGCGCTGGCAGTGAGCTCCGCTTTTTTTTTTTTTTTTTTGGTAAAAGGAAATGGGTTACTTCCTACTCCCTTTCATTTCACTCTTTTGATACATCCCTTATGTTTCTTACCTTATGTTACTTATTATCTTTTAAAACTCTCCATCCTGATTACCACGAGTTAATCTATTGCTTCTGCCCAGTACTCAGAAATATGCTTTCACCACATTTTACATAATTAGCACCTATTATTGGACACAGCATTTAATTTCCTCCCCTCACAGATAATAGTGCATCGAACATTTCTAGACTTGGTCCCTGTCGACCCCTCTGAGATATACACTCAGAATTGACAGGTCTAGGGTATGCGTGCTAAAGCAGTGTGATTTCCAAATAGCAATACCTGAAAGTTCCTGTTGCCACAGCCCTCCCAGCACTTGGCATTACCTTACTATTTTTTTTCCCCGCTTTGAGACAGAGTCTGGCTCTGTCACCCAGGCTGGAGTACAGTGGCGTGATCTCAACTCACTACAGCCTCCGTCCTCTGGGTTCAAGTGATTCCTGTGCCTCAGCTTCCCAAGTAGCTGAGACTACAGCCAAGTATCACCACACCTGGCTAATTTTTTTATTTTGTATTTTGTTTGTTTGCTTGTTTTGAGACAGAGTTTTGCTATTGTTGCACGGGCTAGAGTACAATGGCATGATCTTGGCTCACTGAAACCTCTGCCTCCTGGATTCAAGTGATTCTCCTGCCTCAGCCACCACGTAGCTGGGATTATAGGCATGACCCACCATGCCCTGATAATTTTGTATTTTTAGTAAACATGGAGTTTCTCCATGTTGGTCAAACTGGTCTCGAACCCCAGACCTCAGGTGATCTGCCCTCCTTTGCCTCCCAAAGTGCTGGGATTACAGGTGTGAGCCACCATGCCCGGCCCTAATTTTTGTGTTTTTAGTAGAGATGGGGTTTCACCATGTTGACTGGACTGGTTTTGAACTCTTGACCCCAAGTGATCTGCCTGTCTCAGCCTCCCAAAGTGCTGGGATTACAGGTGTTAGCCACCACACCCCGCCTTAATTTTCTCTTTTTTATCAATGTAATGGATGTAAAGCATTTCTTTTTTATTTTAGTTGGTATTTATTTATCAATTTAATTTCTCTCCACATGAAATAGTGCTTTAGTTTTCTTCTATAAATTAAAAAACAGTAGCTCAAGATGTATATATGAATTCACACCAAAAATATCTGAAGGAAATGGAGATGGCATTAATTTGAAAGAAAAAATACTAATTTAATCTTTTGAATATGCAAGGGATTTCTTCATGTGGTTTCTAATTTAAATTTTCTGAAAACTCACCTGGCTATGAAATGTCTGTCATTTGTACATAATTGCCTTGATGTGTAGTATTTGCTCATTTTTGAGTAGAACTTGTCATATAATTTTCTTGAAAAATCAGTAATTTCTTATGTAAAGCAGAAAAAAATATATTAGTGCATACTTGGTACTAATTCCTTGGGGCTTGATTCTGTATGGTTTCATTTACCTTGCCAACTTGAGATATATAATCTTATGTCTTGCACATGCCCCATTATCCTTTAATCAGACCAAGTCATCATTGCTTTTGTGGTGTTTTGCTTAGACAGTTTGGATAGTCTTTATATCCCTGGTTTTATTCTGTTGTAGTATGTCATTGGCAGACATATCTGCTTAAGTGTGATGTTTTTATGTAATTAAAGTCTTTCAGTAGCTTTCCTGACATGCAAAATACAGCTAGATTTTATTAGTCACACTTTTTTTTTCTCTCTGTATTAGGGTCTCACTCTGTTGCCCAGGCTAGAGTGCAGCGGTGTGATCATGGCTCAATGTAGCCTTGACCTCCAGGGCTCAGATGATCCTCTCATGTTAGCCTCCTGAGTAGCTGGGACTACAGGCACACACCACCATACCCAGCTAATTTTTGTATTTTTGATAGTTAGGGTTTTGTCATGTTGCCCAAGCTGGCCTTGAACTCCTGGGCTCAAGTGATCCGTCTGCCTCAACCTCCCAAAGTGCTGGGATTGTAGTCGTGAGCCAACTATGAGTCATATATTTAATGACCTTCATTTGTTCTCTCTACTTTTATAGTGTTATCTGCAGTACATCCTGCTACATGTTTTTCATTTTAACTAAACACAGTTCACCAAATGTGTAATGTGGGTGCCTGAATCTGTTTCCTTTTTTATACCATTCTCCTGCATGGCTGGCCCAAATACTTTTATTCCTAGTTTATCATGTTAAGAATCTTCAACCTCATTACTCTCTTCTATCTCATGCCTTGGATTACTGTTTCCTCTAAATTTTATTGTTTGCTTTCTCTGCGTCCTTCACACATTTTCTTGTTAGATCCCCTATTTCTTAAACTGTAGTTTTATAATGCACAGATACTATGTCTTACACTCTTCTCTAACTATCACATAGTGCTGTTAGCCTAACTCTACAATTCAAGGCTATCAGTTTTTAAATATGAGTAACATGTTGCCTCATATTTAATCTTCCACTTAAAAAAAAAACTTTTTTAGTGATAGCCTTGAATAATCATGTGTACATATCCATAATATACTAGAAAAGCTTTCAGCTTTCCTTCCCGCCCATCTACCCACTACCTGATAAATGGAATGTCAGCCTACTTCAAGTGTGGTTTTATTGAATTGCCCTAACCTTGAAGGATTCACTCAGACACAGAATTGAAAACAAGTTGTTTTGGAGATTAAGGATGGTTACCTTCTTATCTCTTACTTCTTTTTCTCTCTGCAATTTCTTATTGAAGCAGCGACACACACGGGATAACCACATGTAAAACAAATGCATTACACATATTAATGGCTAGGTAAGGCCTAGATACCCAATGCAGAGCTCTGGTAAAAAACTGGAATGGAGATCTCTTCTTGAGGCAGGACCCTCCAGTGAGTCCTTCAGACCTCAGATGTCTATCTGTTTTATCCCCCAAATCAAAGGTTCAGATGTTGCTACTGCTGTGAGAGGAAATGTCAAGCCAGAGTATATTCAGTTTTGCCAGAGGGAAAGGAATGGGATTTAAGAAAATGTGCATTTGTCCTAATGTTAAATTGACACAAACCGTACCATACTCTAGCTGGATAGGCTGCTAGGGAAGGAACACCATAAAGAAATGACCCAGCTTCCTCTTTGTGAGGTGACAGAAAAGGCTCTGGTCCTTGTGTCTATCAACAAGGTAAGAAGTGGTCTATGAACCATGAATGAAGGAAGCAAAAATATGATTGTAGAGCCTAGTTTTTACCTTAAGGCACAACAAAGGGCACTTTTGTACAATAGGGCCGGGTTAGTGTCACTACTCTGATCAGATCATCTACTCATACTCACTCAGAGAGGAACAGGATGTGGAGAGGGGCATATAAGCTTCTTCCTCAGAACTCCCAAGCACAGGGAAAATACTTTCTCTGTAGGTTGAGTTAAAAGCATGGCAGATAGAGCCAGGGAGAAGTCCACTCCCCACTTTGTAGGTTAAAATGTTGACAAAGCAGTATAGTATGTCACATTTCAGGATAATTTATTTGATCTAAAACATATTTTGCCTTGTTACATTTTTTATTATGAATTTGAATAACATATAGCTCAGGGAGTTTGACTCTTAAGAGACATGAAGAATTGAAAGCATTTGAGGAAATAGTAAACTCACATCTCATTTTGTGTTTGCTCTCTGGTGTGGCAATGGGCTAAATTGCCTGAATTATTAAGTCACTACTCTCTTTTCTTTGTTTGCCAAACTTATGTAGCTGAATTTAAGTTACAATACTGCTTTGTTGTATCTCTTCACTTTTCCACCTTCCTTCAATAAGGAACTGTTTAAGCACTTGAGTAATTTACATGAAAGCCTGTGTAGTAGAAGGCCATCTATCGGGGACATATGTTGAGGACTATCCTGAGGGCCGGGAGAAGACTTCCAGGTTTGAATTCAGGGTGGATCAACCACCTGGGTATCGTTGCACTCTCAGAACAGGCCCAGGGTCTTGGATTCCACCAGGGTTTCACAAACTCCTATTTGAATTCTGAGACTCCCACAGAGAGGCTTTTGACTGTAGATGGATGCAGAATTCTTCTTGTGGATGTGGGGATATGAGTGGATCACCTTCCATTTTGCCATCTTGGTTTATCACATTCTCCCAGTCAGTCATCTTGATGTTGAGTAATGTGTTTCAACTTCATGTAAATAACATTTTGATAAATAAATATAGCCATGGGGCAAGGGTTAGAAAACTGCCTATTGGGTACTATTGTGTAGAACACCAGGGTGACCAATTCAGTCATACCCACACCTCAGCATCACATAAAATAGCTCTGTAACAATCTTGTACATGTACCTCATGCTTCTAAAATAAAAGTTGAAATAGGAAAAAAAAATGTAGCTATGATAAGACTCAATTAAAAGAGGTTATAGTGTTGGTACATTTTTCCTTTCCTCTCAAATAAATCAAAGATTACATAGAAATTTAAAATAAGATGTTCATATGTTAAATTGTCCATGGAAAATTGAACATTCATTGTATAGATTTATGTAGAATTTTAACATGTGTAAAACAATCATTTAAGACAAGAATAAAGAACTTTAAAATATATGCATGTTTTAAAAAATCTCTTAGTGGATGTTAACAGATGTTAACATAACTAAACCATTGGATTAGTTTAAAAGCTTTGGCAGGCACACCTCATTCATTGTGCTAATGATATCCTTTGTCAGCAGGAAGGAAAGAATATTGATTTACCAAAAGATGAATAGATTTGCATGTTTAGTATAAATCCCTGCTGTGATGATTCCTTTGACTTAGTTTAAAAATGTTTATACAGGTTCTTACTGAGAAGGGAAATGAGGAGAAAGGGAAAAACATGCAGATACCTTTGAGAATTTATAACCTGAGATAAGACTACAACAAAGATTTTAAAATGAAATAATTCACTTGATACAGAGACAGTTATACAAAAATCATTTGTATTGCTATATACTAGCAATCAACAGTTGAAAATTAAAATTTTTAAAAAGTTCTATTTATAAAAGCATCAAAACATGTAATATTTAGCTTAAATCTAAAAGAATATGCATAGACCTATAAATAATAAAAGAAACCAAAGGAGACTTAAATGAAGAGCTATACCAGGTTCAAGGACCAGAAGACTGTTGTTAAGATGCTTTTTTAAAAAAAAATAGACACAGTGCATTCTCAAAAATTCAGCAGGCTTTTTTGCAGAGATGAACAAGCTTTTTAAAAATTTTATATGGAAAGGGGAAGGAACTTGTATAGCCAGTAGAATTTTGGAAAAAGACAAAGTTGATTTAAGATATATTATAAAGTCACAGTAATCAAAACAGTTGGAATTGGTGAAAGAGTAGACACATTAATCAATGGAGCAAAGCAGAGTCCTCATATGGCAATTTATTTTCAACAAATGGTGCTGTAACAATTGGACATCTACTTGCAATTAAAAAGGAAGAAAAATGCCTTTGACCCATAACTTACTATGGAAAAGAAAATGGACTCAAAATAGATAATCTAAATGGAGACCCTAAAAATAGAAGAAAACAATATCTCTGTGTTTTTGGGTTAGGTAAAGTGTTCTTAGATACAGCACTAACAGCATGCTCCATTAAGGAAAAAAGTTATAAAATACACTTCATACAAATTAAAAACTCTTCACAAAAGACAGTTAAGAAAATAATAAAAAGGTAATCCACAAACAGAGACAAAATATTTGGAAAATAAATATTTGACAAAAGGCTTTTAGAACCAGAATATTTAAAGACCTCCCAATTCAATCAGGAAAACAAATGACCCAACAAAATAAAATAGACATAAGACTTGAACAAACATTTCACTGAAGAAGTTATACAGATGAGATTTCAGATGCTGGATTTCAAATTATGGATTAGCAAGCTACAGCTCCTATACATTGCTGGTGGGGATGCAGTTTCTTATGAAGTTAGAAATATGCTTAACTGTATGGCCCAGTGATCCCACTTAGTAGGTATCTGGCCAAGAGAAATGAAGGCTTTTATTGACACAAAAGCCTGTTTATGAATGTGTGCAGTGGCTTTCTTCATTGCAAAAAACTGTAAACAACCTAAATGTTCTTGGCTGGTGAAGATAGATAAATAAACTGGTTCATCTATGGAATATTACTGAGCAATAAAAAGTAGTTTTCTGATATACACAGTAACATAAATGAGTCTTAAATGCATTATTGTAAGTGAACAAAATCTAAACTTAAAAGACTACATACTGTATGCTTCCATTTAGATGATGTTCTGGTAAAGGCAAAATCATAGGAATAGAAAGTTTGTAGCAATTTGTTGGAAGGTGGAAAAATGATACCTTGCAGTAATTTCTTTATTGTTAACTTCTTTTTATCTGTTATAGACTATGATCTTGTAACCATGGGAGGTAATAGAAGAACAGATCATGTATTTTTAGATATGTAGCTGTTAAGATTCTTTCTTAAGGGAAAGAAACAAGCCAGGTCAATGTTCTGTATAGCACCTTGCATATGCTGAGTGTTCAATAATTGATTCGATATTTGTTCATGTAGTAACTACAACAAAATTATTACAGTAAAGCTAATGGGTATTTTTCTTTTATATCTCTTCAAGGTGGAATAGCTATTGCTTTTGACCTGTTCCCTTCAAGACTATTATCTTTAGCATCATTTTGCCCTTCTACTTACATCTCTCTGCGAAGTAATTTTTTTTCCCTCATGTTCCAACTTTATTTTTTTTCACAGGCTGTAGTCAAGCTTGCAGATAATGTTCCAACTTTAGATAGATGAAAAGAAAAGTGCCTTTCTTCTTTTTTTGGAGGGAGAGGGTGGTGGGAGGAGAATCCATTGAGGATCCTTAGAAATAGAATTTCAGGATTTTCCCCCTGTGAGTTTTTGTTTTACATCAGCTCTGTGGTCATGGTTGATTTCACAGTCACCAGTGTCACCATTCTTCATCATCACAGTTAGAAACAGACTTTGGATCATGGCTTAATAAGAACCTGGCGTTTTACTTTATTTTCAGCATTGTTGATGCTCTTCTGAGCCTCAGCTAGACATTATGTGCATCATTGTGGAGGCACAAAAAAGTAGTGTGGAGAGCTCTTTATTCTTACTACATTTTTAGGATTTTGGGGATTATTAGTTTTGTCTGTTTCAGCGTAGATATATAACCTTTCAGATGGTTGTCTTTTAGTATCATGCCTTTGAGATTCATCCAAGTTTTTGCATGCATTATGGTTTAATAGGTAAAAAAAAATTTTATGTGATAAAATATTTTTATTAAAGGTATGTATCTTTTTAATGCTAATTTCATTGGTTTTCTCCATTCAGATTTGTGTTTTAAATCCTGTGGTTTAAAAACATTCCCATTGTTTAATTGCAGGTGATTTTGCAGTTCTTCTTAAAGCAGGCATGACTGTAAAGCAAGCCATTGTATACAACCTCCTCTCTGCCATGATGGCTTACATAGGCATGCTCATAGGCACAGCTGTTGGTCAGTATGCCAATAACATCACACTTTGGATCTTTGCAATCACTGCAGGCATGTTCCTCTATGTAGCCTTGGTGGATATGGTAAGATATTTTGTATTTTTTTTGTGGTAGTAAACCTGCAAATGAAAGAAATCCTTGCAAGTGGTTTGAAGTCAAACTTTTTAAAAATGTAGCTCATTTTAAAGACATAATACCCTAAATAAACTCTTAAAGGAAAGACATTAAAGTAGGAGGTTTCCTTTTATGGAAACCAGTTGAGTTGCTGAAAATGATGTTACTATTTAATCATTAGTAATAGAGTTTTAAATACAGAATTATTATACTACTTTGAAGATGTTGTAATATTGGGGTAGACGTGTTATTTTTGTTAGCAAAATAAGTTTGTGAGCTTGTTTTATGGCAAACAGGAGAGAAATACTATTCCTGTTAGGTAAGCCAGTCTTTTGTAGGAAGTGGTATATATTCCATAGGGTTTATATAATTTATTACCAAATTTAGCTTAAAGTTAAAAGTAAATGCTGACAATTTGTTTTATTTTGATTTTACTTTAATACCCCAAATATGTTAGTGTATTTACAGAACTAGCAATTAGGGGTTTTTTTGTTAGTTTGTTTTTGACTAGGTATGACATTTTCTTTTTCTGGTAAGATCATAACAGTCTTATTTCAGAATTATGCAGCTTAGTTTTTATTATTTATTTATTTTTTGAAATAGGGTCTTGCTCTGTTGCCCAGACTGGAGTGCAGTAGTATGAACATGGCTCACTGCAGGCCTTGACCACCTGGGCTCAAGTGATACTCCTGCCTCAGCCCCTGAGTAGCGAGGACTATTTACACATACCTGCCACCACAGCCAGCATAAATATATTTTTTTAACTTTATTTTTAGAAATAGGGTCTTGCTATATTGCTCAGGCTGGTCTCAAACTCCTGGGCTCAAGCATTCCTACTGCCTAAGCCTCTCAAAATGCTTGGGATTACAAGTATGAGCCACCATACCTGGCCCAGCCTAAATTTTTAATCACAAAATTAATGCCTGTTTGTTATAGAAGGTTTTGAAAAGGTAAATAATTATTTCTTCTTTTAGTTTACAAAGTTACCTAAAAGTAGTCATCTTCCCTGCTGACCTTTAATATTTCGTTTCCTATTCTCACCCTCAACTGATAACCTTGCTTCTGATTTCATGGAGCCATTAATCCACAATTTCTTATCATCACTTCTGCTTACCTTGCTGTATCTATGCCCATTTACCTTCTTTGCTGTTACTAAAAGGAAACTTCCTAGCAGCTGGTGCTCCTGCAGACTGCTCCCTAGAACTTATCCCCTCTGAACTTCCTTAATTTCTCCCCTCTCTTTCCCATACCATTTCCCCCTTTCTGCTGGATTATTTCTGTTAGCCTATAAACCTCATATTACTTCTCCCTTCTTAAAAAGGTGGGGGACCTCTCTTAGTTCCAACTTCCCCTTTAGCTATCACCCTATTGCTGCTCTCTTTTAGGAAATTTTCATTGGTTTGGTTTTGGGTTATTTTTTACCCTGTGGGAGTGCAATGGTGCAGTGTTGGCTCACTGCAGCCTCGACTCCCCAGGCTCAAGTAATCTTCCTGCCTCTACTGCCTGAGTAGCTGGGACCACAGATGCACACCACCATGCCTAGCTAATAATTTTTTTTAAGTTTTTGTAGACATGGAGTCTGACTATGTTACCCAGGTTGGTCTTGAATGCCTGGCCTCAGCATTCCAAAGTGCTCAGATTATAGGTGTAAGCCACCATGCCCTGGCCATTGTTTATTTTTAAATTTTCCTTTTTTTTTTGAACCAAAACTTAATCAGGTTTCCCCCCTGACTTTTCTGCCAGAACTTCTTTTGTCTAATTAACCATATATAAAAACTAGTGTTGGAATTAGGGGGAGAGGTACCAGATTACATCTATGCAAATAATTAGAGTCATATTCAGATTTGCAAAAAAGGCATAATAATCTGTTTACCATGCCACTGTTTGTGAACTCTGTAATGGTTGATAAAAATCTGTATGAATATAGTACTAATATGTAGCAGATTACACCAGTTAAATAAGCAGCTCAAATTCATAAGTCTAAAGACCCAATATCCCTGAGTGTTCATCTCAGTTTTAACATGGTTTCATCTTATTGTTACCTCATCAGGAGAGATGTTTAATAACTCCTCCCTCCATGCTGTAGTTCTTAAATATGACCTTCAAGAGATGCTAAATATACTATAGCACTGTCAGAGCATGGTGGTTTGATTAATTGTACCCATTATTTAATAACAAATAATGATGTTTCTTCCTAGACAGAAGTATGAATTAAGAATTACATGACTTAACACTATATTTTCTCCTCCCTAAATCCAAAGCACCAAGATACTGTTTTGGAGCACAACATAGTGTCCAAGAGAGTAGCATTTCAGTGTCATCTCTGTGTAGATACTGATTGCAAATTTGAATTATGTTTGCAGAAAAGTGAAAGTAAAAGTTGGAAGTAGCAATTCTTTCACAATTTTGATTAGGTTTGGGTGGAAAGAATTTATGTCTATAATGATGCAATGTATTTCTCCCACAAATCTTATTTACTTAGACAAATTAAAGGAATTTAATTTTTATATTTTGAATCTACAGATTAGATGTAATGGTATGTGATATGCTTTAGAAATTGAAGTATATAAACTTTTAAAAGCACTATGCCTTCAAAGATATGACAATTTTCTGATTTTTGAAATTTTATCAATATTAAGAGAATAGAGTACACTATGGGGGCACTGTGCATGACTTGGTACTAGTTATGCCAGATAGCTTTGCTAGGTTATTTTCTGTGTATGTTATTGGAAGGAAAGCAATGGCTAAGGGCGTAGAGATGCCAATTTGGATTTGTCACCAAATATTTCTTTGCTGTCATATGCAGTGGGAATGAGAATTTCAAGTGGAAAAGAGTGAAGAAGTGATACCATTTTGAATTAGATATTTCCCAAAAGAGCTTTTCTTAGTGAGTTTAAGATACATTAGTAGATGTGGGAATTGTGGTGATTTTTTTTTTTTTTTTTTTTTTAGTGTTTTAATGGCAATAAGTTGTTTTATACTTTAGTATAAAGTAAAATGTCAGAATTGATAAGGTCACTGGATGATAACTGTGAAAAATGATTAATGTGTATATTTTAAGTGTTTGTTGTGGGGGATGATGAGGAGGGAACAGAGTTGGTGTTGACTTAATGACTAGTGAAAGCATAAAATTTCTTCAGTATTTGACTAAAATATATTTGTGTTCAATAAAATATAAATAAGTATATTTATAAATAAAATAATTATTGAACACAATATATAGCATTGTGTTCAGTAAAATATTTATAATTACATTTTAGTCATTAATTTTCTTAAGTAGGAAAAATATTTTTAAAAATTGTTTTGAGTGGAAGTATTATACAAATTTAATGTGAAGATTTGTGTTTTTAGCTTCCAGAAATGTTGCATGGTGATGGTGACAATGAAGAACATGGCTTTTGTCCTGTGGGACAATTCATTCTTCAAAATTTAGGATTGCTCTTTGGATTTGCCATTATGCTGGTGATTGCCCTCTATGAAGACAAAATTGTGTTTGACATCCAGTTTTGACCTTTCCCAGTTATCACTTGATTACGAGAATATTACCATGCAGCTTTGCATCTGTTCCTTGTACTGTATGCACATTGCTCAAAGGAAAGTCAGTGGCTTGCACTACTTACAAGTTCCATAGATTTGAGCCTAACCTCAAAAGGCTGGTGCTCAGTACTGTTTTCCCTGCATGTAGGGGTCTTTTAAAAATACAAAGCTTGTGATAAAGAGAGGAGAATATGGGACTCCATAAACCAGTGTTGATATGTTTAAGACTTTTCACAAAATAATCATATAAAACACTAAAGTAGTCTCTTTATTAGTAGAAACATCTGTGGCTATGCAGAAATAGAGATTGAACCAAAAAAAATCATTTAAACTTTAAAAATATTTTAAATGGACTTTGGGGAGACATTTTTGTGTGTTTCAAGAATGAATTGTAGTGCTCTTTAATTCAGCTACATATATACATGTGGTGATAGGGATCAACTTGACACAACTTTGAAACTGCATAAAGTAGACATAGGAACTAGAGGAAAGCTCAGGCTGCATTAGAGTATGAATTTAGCATTGGGAAAAGCCCTTATTCTTGAATCTAGAGTTACTATTTTTGTATATATTTGCATAGTGTTTAAACCTGCAGCCGAAACTACTGAAATTCGTGATTGTATGTTTGTGTGAGCTTCAGTTTAATGAAAGATTCATAATGGTTCTTTGTATTGTTACAATACTTGGGTGTTGGGATGGTCTGTTTTTTTTTTTTTTTTAACTTTAATTTTTTTTTTTTGAGGGGGGAGGTGAGGGTTTAGAGCATGTGGTCAATGTTCTTTTTTAAAAATTGCAACCCTCTAGAAAATATCAAAGAAATGAATCAAACGTGCTTTAAATAGTTGATTTTCCTACTTTAACAGTTCCAACTAGTTAATGGGGAAATATAAGTTCTGAATGTTCACATTGCTTTACCAGTTTGGCATTGGAACCAAGAGCACATCCTATGGCTGGCTGCAAGGTTGTAAAGCAGAAAATCCAAGTTTACCATGTGTGTAATCTATACATGAAGTGTCAATTTAGAAGAGTTACTAGGATAAACTCCCATTATTGCCATGGCTGTCATTGTACCCAAATGACTTGGAAGATACATTTAAATTACTCAGCTGAAATCACTTGATCATCTTGTGCCAAGATATGCTGTTGGTGCCTGATAGGGATTAGTCTCTTTTTTAGGTGCCCTATTCTCCTACCATAATTGTGAATGATTTGTGAGAAGTGCAAGCCATGTTTATCCTGAATTTTGACTTAATAATTTTATTACTAGTCATATGCATGTAGCTTTCTGTTTACATCCTATGCCACATGGTCTTCATTTATGCCAGGTAAACTGTATTTGAACTACGTGCAGCTAGCTTTGTTTTAATCTGCTTGGCAACCAGTGTAGCTGCTGTAACAATTTTATTGTTCAAATATATAAGCGCCAAACTCTTTTCCATTCCATCTAAAATGTTATCATTTAGTCCTCCTCTTTCCTCCTGTTCTTTTCCTCTTACTCTGTGAACTTTAAAACAAAAATAATACTTCGACAGCAGCACATGCATCCAGGTATTTATAGATTATTGCCAGTGTTTCTTCTGTATGCTATAAGTAAAGGAGCTTAGGTGTTATTTCTTTAATTTATGCTTAAATTTGAAAAGTTACTTCTGACTTTCTGTATGGCCTCCTTATAATAAGTAAGAGTTTTATACATAGATTATTTTCAGCATTGGGCACTGAATTAGGACAGTCCTCATCTCATTGCTTGGCCCTTCAAGCAACCTAGCTAAAAGGTGCTGATATTTTATTTAGTACTGCCAATTTCAAGTGATTCATGTATCTTGATTTCTGAACCAGGATATATTTATAGTTCATTTTTGGGTTTTTATACCCAAGGAGTATTCTGCATTCCAGCATTAAATCTGCTTCATTTAAAACTTTTATAAAAGCAACAGCTGGAATATACTCCGTTTTAAATGCCTGATTTAAAGCAAGTGGGTTATGCTGAAGTATGTAAAGTTTTATATTCTCTCAAAAGTCTTATTATCTTTATTTGCTAGATTTTAAAAATCTTAAGAGGGCTGTAACAGTTGCTGCTAGTATTTTGTTTGTTAGAGTTCCACCAGTATTTAGTTTTCACATCATTCTAATGTATAGTTTCAAGTCTTACTAGACAATCTGAATTCCACTACATTTCTGTTGGCTCCAACATTCCTTTTAGCTTGATGAGTCAATTTAAAATGTGTTTGTTGGAGGTCATTAATGTTACTTGTACAATGCTGTCACTGTGTGACATCCATATGAATTTTGGTATATATATCACATTGCATTCAATCAGCTGTGATTAGGCTTAGAAATATTTTAGTAACAATGCAGTGTGAATTTTTTCCATTAACAATAAGTCAGTGGCTTAAATGTGATTATGGTCCTGCAAGGTGATTCTTGCTAAAATATCTAAACTTTTGTTTAGTTTTAACTGAATTTTTTTTAACTTAAAAAGCTGGGAATTATCAAATGCTGTTTTTTTTTCATTGTCAACAGTGATGTGTCATTTTATGTATGTTCCTAATGCTTATGGAACTCCTCCAAAATAAAGTTATTCAAAGAGAGCAAATATGCCAATGTGTTTTTAGTTTTTATTTCAGAGCATTTCCTTACATTGAAGTATGAATCATATTAATCTGTATTTGCATAAGTAAATTCATAATTAGGTATAGCTTGAGTCAAATGTATTTAAACAAAAAAAATGCTTTAGTAGTAAAATATGCCTTCTATTCATTTTTATTCAGCCATCCAACAAGAAACAGGAACAAAGAAGTGACATCTTATGGCTATGAATTAAGCTGACATAACAGTGCTACACCTCGTCCAATCCAGTGCTCCTTGGGTTGGTCAGAGGGAAGAGTCATGGCAATCACAAAATTCGTGGAATGGCCAGTGGTGGATAAGGTTCCTCTCCGCTCACTTGTCTTATACAATGGAGCAACATAACTTGGCCGTTTTGGTATATTTGCCCTCTTACAGGGCTTTAGCCACATCTGGAAGAAAGTACGTAACACCTCTTTAAATCAAGGCTGTTACATGTACATGTGTTTGAACCTACTATCATCATATTCTCAGAGTAAGGTTAGTTATGTATGTAAATGTCTGTGGCTCAAATAGATTTTATTTTCACCAGCACTGCTGTGTGCTCAAAACATTTTATAGAAATCTTAGAAGAAATAATTTTCACCTACTCTGAAAGCATATTTTCCAACTATTCACCTCTCAGCCACACTTACCTGGGAAATGACTTTTCGTGCTTATAATAATAAAATCCAAATTGCCACCAATGATATTCAGAATCATGTGCCTTTATATTGAAAGACAGTTCCCACAAATACTGAAGGGATTTTTATCAGCAGCTGTATAACTAGAGAACCTTCCCATTTCAGGAGACTATTTTAAAGGAGATTTTATATATATATATATATATATATAAAATGTATATACGCATATATATATACATATATATATATAATGCTGTTTATAATTAAAATATAATTGCATTCCTTTATAACCACACTCTATCCCCCATTCTTTTTAGTCATTAACTAAGTTCCTACAATTTATTGTTGAACCTCGCCAACCTTAAAAATGAGGTTTTGGGGCAATTTTATCTTTGAATGCAACAGTAAGAACATACTATGATCATAAAGATAATTTAATTCAGTTTCTTTTTCTGGAGTAGAAGTAATAGCAGTTCTTGAGATGATAGGACTCCAATGTTCAGACCCCTCTTTTAGGTTTCTTAGATCAAAACACAGATTGTTGAAGGAGCTCATAAGGATGCGAGTTTCTCCCTTTCTCCCACTTAATTGTGGAGTCCAGACTTTCATAAGGGGGATCCACAAGGCAGTTCTGCAAATATTACCTACAATGTAAGACTCAAAGCACTCTTCTTAACTCAGATGTATTTCATTTCAACCCCAGGGATGAGAATTTTTACTTCTAACTAGCTCCTTATTCAGGAGAATCATTATCCATTTAGGAATAATTTTTTTCTTGTATACACTGCAAGTTACTTATTCCATGTGAAATAAACTAAATTTTAGATCAACTCCTGAAATTGCAAACATTTATTTGTCTTTGCAACTTTCAATTTGGGTCTTGTATTTTAAATTTTGTACCCACATTATTTAAAAATATATGACAAATTTCTCACAATTGGCTGTCAGTTGACCCTTTACTGATACAGCTGCTCTGAAGGCCTTTTTACCTGTCTTTGAGCTGCTTCGAGAATCCAGCAAACAGAACTCACATAAATCCCACTGCTTATATTTTATCACACTATCCCAGACCTACCCTTCAAATTGTGGTAAAAATATCTTAAGCTATTTATGATGCAGTTATAGATGGAAACAATTATATTTTATAAAGCTTAATCTGGCAATGCTGGAGATAGGTGCCTAGGAAATGTAGGCTTTTTAAATTGATGGTTTTCATAATCTTTTTAAAAAAAGTATAAGAAAAAAATACAATGAACACAGGTGTGTGTACTTAAAATTGACCTCACTATTTGTGGATTCCACATTTCCAAATTTGCCTACTCACCAAAGTTTACTTCTAATCCTAAAATCAGTTGGCAGCACTATCGTGCTCTTTGGCGGACATTCGCAGAGCATCAAAGATGTGGGTTATCCATCACATGTTCCCAGCTCAGGTTGAACCAGGTGAGGCTCTGCTTTCTTGTTTCAACTCTCATGACGGTAAACAAGTATCCTTTTCATGGTCTACTTAGTTCCAGGTTTTTCACATTTTTGTGTTTTTGTTGGTGCTTTCACTGTTTAAAATGGCCCCTAAGTGTAATGCAGTGCTGTCTAATGTTTCTAAGTGCAAGAAGGCTGATGTGCCTCATAGAAAAAGTATTAGCTTATGCCTCAATGAAACTCATAGCATTTTGACTGTGAGTTGTTAATGACTCAACATTGTATATTAAATAATGTGTCTTTAAACAGAAATAAAACAAGGTTCTTTATTGATCAGCTAACAAAAACATTGTGACCAAAGAAAGAACCTTGTATTTTCCCAGGATCAGTGGTTCAGTATTTGCTAATTCAATTTTGGAAACAACTTTATAGAATATAATTACCATGAATAACAAGAATTGACTCTATATGTGTGTGCTTATATATATGCACACAAGATGGGGTCTACTTTATATATAACAAAATATGCATAAAATAATTCCACATGTATATATCATTAGAATTTACTAACCACAGGCACTGTATCATAAAGAATTTTGGGATGCGATTCTGCAAGTTTCTTCATCTTTCTATTCCAGGAAGCTCCATCCAGAAATAATCCATGAATGAAAACACCTAAATATAAAAGAAACACTTTAATATAACACATTACACATTTTTATTGAGTTCTGAATCTGAAATTTCTACATGTAAGTAGTATGCAGGTGATAGATTTGTAGCATAAGACTTGTTTTCCAGTGAAGGCAATCTCATGGGTGTTTTAACATCCACATTTCAAGAACATTTAAACTCTGACTAGTGAAATAATGCAACAGTAAAAATAGGCATGGAAGACAAAAGAGGAAAGACATTTTAAACGAGTCTATGGGAAGTTCTCAGTGTTTGTGAACATTATCAAATTCATATTTTTAATTGGTAAATGATTATACTATGTTTTCAGGAGCTATGAAGTCTGGGGAAAAAAATAGTTCTTAATGTAATAGGGATCCAATGTCTTGTAGGCAGCATATGAGCAAAGTACCCTTCTATAGATCTCTAAAGTCATATAATTAAATTGCTCCTCCCCTTTTAGAATTTATTCTTACTGCCAAGAGCTCTACTTAGCCCCTGCCCTCATAAAATTAAAAGTATAGGCCAGGCATTGTGGCTCATGCCTGTAATTTCATCACTTTGGGAGGCTGAGGTTGGTGGATCACAAGGTCAGGAGTTTGAGACCAGCGTGGCCAACATGGTGAAACCCCTCTCTACTAAAAATACAAAAATTAGCCAGGTGCAGTGTAATCTCAGCTACTAGGGAGGCAGAGGCAAGAGAATTGCTTGAACCCGGGAGGTGGAGGAGGTTGCAGTGAGCCGAGATTGCCCCATTGCACTCTAGCCTGGGTGACAGAGCAAGACTCTGTCTCAAAACAACGGCAACAACAACAACAAAAAAATAGAACCCTGAAAGAAACATCAGTGCTGTTCAAACTTCAACCCAAATGCCACCTTCTGCCTTGTACAACGATAAGAATTAGAAAAAAATTCTTGCATCTGAATTAAATACTTAAGAATAAACTATAACTCCTTTAAGAAAACTTTCCTTGAGAAATGTGATGTTTTCAAACCTCTACCAAAATACTCAGTAATAGGCCATAGAGAAAGCAGCTAAGCATGAGAGCCAGATGGCCTGGTCTGAATCTCAGCTCTGTCAATTACTAGCTGTGAGACCTTCAGCAAGTTACTTAATCCCCGAGCCTTAGTTTCCACCTTGTCTAATGGTGATAATAGTAGTATCTGAGTCCTAGGGGTATTGTGAGGACTCATTGTAAAGGACTGGGCAGTCTGGATCCCCACAGTGGCACAGAGCAGCCCCACAGTAAGTATCTCTGCCGTTTCCTTGATTTGCTTTTACCCAACTTAAACATTTCTTTGCTCCATTGCCAAATTTGAACCAGATTTCTATTCTTCTGGTATGTTGCTAAATTTATCTAACTAAAAAAATAAATTTTTTTTTTTTTTTTTTTTTTTTGAGATAGAGTCTTGCTGTGTCGCCCAGGCTGGAGTACAGTAGTGTGATCTTGGCTCACTGCAACCTCCGCCTCCTGGGTTTAAGCAATTCTCCTGCCTCAGCTGCCTAGGTAGCTGAGATTACAGGTGCATGCCAGCACAGCTAATTTTTGTTTTTTTGGTAGATAGAGGGTTTCACCATGTTGGTCAGGCTGGTCTTGAACTCCTGACCTTGTGGTCTGCCTGTGTTGACCTCGCAAAGAGCTGGGATTACAGACATGAGCCACCAGGCCCAGCCTATACTTTTAATTTTATGAGGGTAGGGGCTCAAACTTATATTTATTAGTGTCTTTTATGACATACCATAGTGAGCTGTATGGAAAAAAATTTTGTTAAAGCTTATATTATTAAGGAAACAATAAACAACTTAGCAGAAGGTTGTTAAATTTCCTTCTGTATTTTATTTATTTATTTTAAAAGCTTCCAGTGGGATAAAGTTTCTTCTGAGTATGTTGAGATAAAGGGATTTTGAACAAATGATCAGAATAATGGTAAGTTAAGCATCTGTGGCTGAAAAATATGATTTTTAAGATATAATATGTCCCAATGATTCTTTATTCGTTGCATCTGTTGTTCTTAAATATGTTTCTACAATAACTAAGTGTTAGAGACTGAAATAAAAGGTATCTTTTAAAGGTTGGGTCAGAGTCCACAAATTTTTTTTTTTTTTTTTTTTGAGACAGAGTTTCACTCTTGTTACCCAGGCTGGAGCGTAATGGCGCAATCTCGGCTCACTGCAACCTCCGCCTCTTGGGTTCAGGCAATTCTCCTGCCTCAGCCTCCTGAGTAGCTGGGATTACAGGCACTCGCCACCATGCCCAGCTAATTTTTTGTATTTTTAGTAGAGACAGGGTTTCACCATGTTGACCAGGATGGTCTCGATCTCTTGACCTCGTGATCCACCTGCCTCAGCCTCCCAAAGTGTTGGGATTACAGGGGTGAGCCACCACGCGCGGCAAGTCCACAAATTTTTAGTGGATTCCAGTAGCATAATTTTTGGAATCTCCCCAGTACCATTTGAGGGCCCTTTATGTGCTAGATACTGAGAGGCACTCAGGAAAGAATGGTGCAGACAAACAAGTTCACCACTCTCCTAGTATCTGTATATAGTGGGGGAGAGAGATAATAAAGAAAGAAACACATAAGATAATTACAGTCTAACCAATGCTCTGAAGTTAATAAGCAGAGTTGCAAGACAGGAGAGTAATGTGAAATAGGCAGCCCCAACAGATGGAAGCCCATAGAAGCTCTTGCTAATGACCAGTGATTTAAGCTGAGACCGGAATATTGAGACGTGTACACCATGCTGAGTCTGGTCTTAGGAACAAAGATCAAAGAACATGAGCCATTCTAGAAGCCGTCAAGAGGTTAGTGTGATCTAAGCATAGTGGCGCAGGATGAGACTATATGGGTGGGCAGCAGCTAGAACATGCCTGGCCTCACTGTCACCGTAAGGGGTCTGGATTTTATTCAAACCACAAGGGGAAAAATGACACTATTAACTTATTTTTTTTTTTTCTTTTTTCTGAGACAGAGTTTCGCTCTTCTTACCCAGGCTGGAGTGCAATGGCACGATCTTGGCTCACTGCAACCTCCGCCTCCTGGATTCAGGCAATTCTCCTGCTTCAGCCTCTTGAGTAGCTGGGATTACAGGCATGCGCCACCATACCCAGCTAATTTTTTGTATTTTTAGTAGAGACAGGGTTTCACCATGTTGACCAGGATGGTCTCGATCTCTTGACCTCATGATCCACCCACCTCAGCCTCCCAAAGTGCTGGGACTAAAGGCTTGAGCCACTGCACCCGGCCGACGCTATTAACTTATTTAGTTGTCTGGATTTTCATTGGAGACCAAAGGCTGATATGTTTTCATTTTTAAAAAAAATTCTGTGGCTTCTGTACAAATTAATGGCAGTAAATGGGTAATGACAGGAGGGAGACAGGATAAAGGCTAGTGCAGAAGGCAAGATAAAAATAGTAGGGGGGGTGATCAGGTGCAGTGGCTGACGCCTGTAATCCCAACACTTTGGGAGGCCAAGGTGAGTGGATTGCTTAAGCTCAGGAATCCGAGATGAGCCTGGGCAACACAGGGAGACCCAGACTATACAAAAAATGAAAAAACGTAGGTGGCGCACGCCTCTGGTCCCAGTTACTCAGGAGGCTGAGTGGGAGGATCACTTTGGCCCAGGAGGTCAAGGCTGCAGTAAGCCAAAATAGTACCACTGTACTGTAGCCTGGGTGACAGAGTGAGACCCTATCTCAAAAACAAAAACAGGGTGGTGGCAGTAGGATTGTAGGTGAGCAACTACCCTTGATACGAACAGATGAGGGAAGAGAAGAATGAAGAATTCCTGGGTTTCTGGCTGGATGGTGGTGCCATTTAATAAATTACTCATTTTACATATTCAGGAGACACCAAAGTGAAGATTTCAGGTTGTCAATTGGATTTGGAGGTCTAGATCCTAGAGGAAAGAACTAGATTTGAGATTCAGAGATTTACATTTGGAGGACATAAGCAAAGAAGATACAAAAAACTGTAAGGTCACTCAGGGATAGGATGCTGTCAGAAGAGAGAAATAGTTCCAGGACTGAGTCTGTGGAAACTAGTATTAGGGGAGCCTAAGCCACTCAAGCAGCATGAATGTGGCCAATGAGATAAGGAAAATCAGGAGAGGGTGATGTCCTGGAAACAGAGAGAAGTATATTTCTAGAAGGATGAAAGGTAGATAAGAAGTAGGAAGTGAGAACCTGCAGACCGCATGTAAAGACAATTCTTTTGAGAAATTCTGCTATAGTGGTGAGTGGAGATAGGGACAGTAGCTGAGGGGGATGTAGAAAGACAATTGAAATGGTTGATTTAAGATGAGAGATTCTAGACCATGTTGTGGGTTGACAAGAATTACCTAGTAATGAGAGAACAATAATTTGTTCTGGAAAGAGAGGGCACAATTAAAGGACCAAAGTCCTTGAGAAGGAAAAAGAAAATGAAATCTGGATTCCTCAAGGGTGCAGATGTTGACAAATGTATTGAGTCAGTGGTGCTAAAAGCTCTCTTCAGATGGCTTTTAATTTTTTCCATGAAAAATAAGGGGAGATGTGGGGACAGGAGGAAAGGCAAGGAGAGTGTAAGTGGTTGCTGTGGGAGGAGGAAAGCAAATATCCCCAGGAATAGTAGTGGGATTGATTCAGCATTACAAACCATCTTGAGATTAGTGACCATCAATTTAAAATAAAACTTCTTGGCACAGTAATGTGATTATCATACACTGCTGTGGTTACATATCTACTTGTTAATGTCTCTCACTACAGTATAAATTAGTTGAGGGATAAGATCATAAATTGTTCCCTGTTGATATCTCCGGGTCCTGACAGAAAGTGAGCTAGTGAATTCATCATTCAGTGATAAGAAAGTTGCCTTCAACACATTATTTAAAGCAGTACACATTAACAGTCACTTAGAGACTGTCATTTATATAAAGACAATACAATTTGGGTAAAATTATGGAATCTGTAGCATTTAAAAAATAACTAAAAAAAAAATAGTGGCCTTGTCCACTAAGTTTGAAATAAAACATCAGGGTAGCCATAAAGTATAGACAATCCATTAAGAAAGATTTCCTCACAGTCTTTCAACCACAAAGCAAATGTTTCTATTAGTTATATTTTGGAATGATATATATAACAGGACAGAATACATATTTTAGGATTCTACAAAGGTGTACTCTTCAAGGGACCAGGGAAAAACCTTTCCAATGCTGTACCATGTCCAGTCAACATAAGATTACAGCTGTTATGCCATGTGCTGTTAATTTCATGATTACTTTCTTAACGTTTTAGAAATAACTTCTAACTTATAAAATTTTGCAAAAAAAAAGTATAAATATATTCTTTATCCTGATTCATCTACTGTTACCATTTTCTATTTGCTTCATCGTTCCCCTTCACCCTTCTCTCTCTTTCCCCATGCTCACTCATTTGCTCTCTGTCTCTCTATAATTTTTTTTCTCTGGCATTTAGGGTAAATTACATTCGTGATTATTACTTTTTAACAGCTGAGAAAAGCTAGAATGTCATGTTTTTGTTCAGTGCCCAGATATGAGCCGACTCATTCTGTCCCTGCACTTACCATCCTCAGGAGCCTGCTTGTATTCTTTGTCTTCCATCACTTCATAGTCAAACCCAAGAAGATCAATAGGAATTGTGTATTTTCTGGCATAGTTCTGCTGGGCACCAGTCAGGAAAGCTTGTGTGAAGAAGAAGCCAGAAAGCCAGAAGACTGGAGGAGGGCCAATCTCGTACCATTGCTAGGGTGTAAAACATAAGTCACCTAACAGTAGAGCCTTTCAACCGTTTTTTTTTTTTTTTTTTGCAAGAGGGTCTCACTCTGGTTGCCCAGGCAGGGCTCAGGTGGCCCTCCCACGTCCGCCTCCCAAGTAGCTGGGAATACAGGCACATGCCGTCACACCTGGCTAATTTTTTGTATTTTTAGTTGAGAAGGGATTTTGCTATTTTGCACAGGCTGATCTCAAACTCCTAGACTTGAGAAATATATATGTCTCAGCCTCCCAGAGTGCTGGGATTACAGGCATGAACCACCACACTTAGTGAGCCTTTCAACTTTCGAATACAACACTGCTTAATAAAATTTATCCAAATATATTTATTGTCTTTTAGATAAACTAATGAATTACCTCTGAGAAATAACAAGCCATACTATCAAGGTTTTAAGAACAGATAGCATATTCAGTCTTTGTCCTGACTTCAATTTCATACTTATCATATCAGCTTGGGAATTAGTGTTCATTAATGCAAACATAAATGTCTGTGTTATACATGCCCCATGACTCTTTCAGAAAGGCTCCCTACAATAGTGAATATCTAATGTGCATTGTTATACAATATACCATGTTATACAGTTGAACAGAAGAGATCCCCATAAAGTCTGGTCAGATGGTAATGTTTTTCACTTTTTTTCTCTAATTAGTCATTAGTCCCAACAGAATGTTGCCTTGGAAGTTTTTCTTCCTACTTCACCAAAACACAGTAAAATTCAACATATAGGAACACAATATTGTGCCAGGAATTCCTGGAAGAAGCCAGGTAGTGAGACCTTAAAGCCTTTAGAAATGTCAAGATACTTTAGTTCTCTGTTCATAACATAGATTCTAATGGTGAGTTAGTTGAATATTGACTTTAATTAGATAGTAAATTAGAGAAGCCAATCTGAAGAAATGAATTTGAAAAGCTTTTCCCTCTAAGAGCCCAAGATAGAACTTTATCCTTCAAAAAGTATCTTAGTTCCTTAGTATTGGCTCTAGCATAGCAAAAGACCTGTATTATGAAAAGGGAGTTTAACCATTTTATTCCTGCAGAAATATCTTTATAGGTAGCTACTGACACATTTTGTACAGACTCTAGGAAATTAATCAATATTTCTAATAGGTATAATTGTTAATAAGAACATAGTTCAGCACCAATATTACCAGACAATTAATGGGCTTCTGCCCACTCAACATTTCCAAGACAATTAGCCATTGAGGTCATTACTGACTAGGGCTGAACCAGCAAACTAGTGATGTCATGACCTAGAAAAGTACTGGGAAATGGAGATATAATACCCCTCACTGGTAGCTTGACTGGCTTTCTAAGATGCTTTGTTATAGGTATTTTAATGTTGACTACTTAGTGGAAAAATCAACATGTTTTCTCCCTTCATTTAATAGTAGTTTTTGACAGTTCAGTGTAGCAGTTACAAACATCGTATGAAAGATTAAGAAGTGGTGATTTGTGTCTGGGATGCACAGAAAAATTAGAGAGTAATACTTATTACATTAAGCATTCTGATGAAGAAAAAAGAAAACAAGAGAAACTTAACAATGTACGATCATTTGGATGAACTTACCTGCAAGAATTTTAGTCTTGCAAGGAAGTCATTCACATAGCTGCCAAGAGGTTTAAGGCTTGGGTAGGATTTACCCATCCACATTTCTGGAATTTTGACATTCAAAATGCTGCTAACCACTTCTTCAAGTTCTGTAGACATGACTACAAGCCCCTGAAACACATGTAACCTTGGTTAGTATCATAGTATAAATATACATAGCATAATAGTATAAATACCTCCTTCACAATTATCCTTTGTTTACAATTGTGATTAGTTAAGGTTGAGTCATACAGAAAAAAAAAAAGTGGAAATATTTGTTTTTGCTTACAAGTAGGCCATGGAGTCTTTGAACTGTTCCTTAGAAAAATATTAACAAATCTAACCAAAATTTTTTTTCTTTTTTGAGATGGGGTCTTTCTCTGTTGCCCAGGCTGGAGTGCAGTGGTGGGATCTTGGCTCACTGCAACCTTGACCTTCTGGGCTCAACTAATCCTTCCACCACAGGCTCCCAAGTAAGGAGCATGCATCTACAGGCATGCATCACGACACCTGACTAATATTTTACTTGAAAATTTCTTTTTGTATAGGAGACCACGGAGGGTGGCTCATGCCTGTAATCCTAGCACTTTGGGGCCAAGGCAGGTGAATCACTTGAGCCCAAGTTCATGACGAGACTGGGTCCCATGGGAAAACCTCATCTCTACAAAAAATACAAAAATTAGCTGGGCATGGTGGTACACACTTGTAGAACCAGCAACTTGGGGGGCTGAGGCAAAAGGATCGCTTGAACCTGGGAGGTCGAGGCTGCAGTGAGCCAAGACTGTGTCACTGCACTCCAACCTGGGTGGCAAAGTGAGACCCCGTCTCAAAAAAAAAAACTATACTTTGGAAGGCCGAGGCGGGTGGATCACGAGGTCAAGAGGTCAAGACCATCCTGGCCAACACAGTGAAACCCCGTCTCTACTAAAATATAAAAAATTAGCTGGGCGTGGTGGTGCGTGTCTGTAGTCCCAGCTACTTGGGAGGCTGAGGCAGGAGAATTGCTTGAACCCAGGAGGCAGAGGTTGCAGTGAGCCGAGATTGCGCCACTGCACTCCAACCTGGTGCCTGGCGACAAAATGAGACTCTGTCTCAAAAAAAAAAAAAAAAAATTATAGACATGGAGTGTGACTATGTTGCCCATGCTGGTCTCAAACTCCTAGCCTTAAGCAGTCTTTCTGTCTTCACCTCCCAAAGTGCTGGGGTTATAGGCATGAACCACTGTACCTGCACCTGATCTAACCCAATTTTAATAGAAAAAAATCTTCTTAATCAATACTTGGCTACTCACTATTAAACCACAGACTAACTGACTTAGTTTACTGTCTATTAAGTGGATAAGTAATATAGCTCTACACTGCATTCTGGAAAGGATGGTGATAAATGTAAAATTAGAAATATTACATAAAATGCTTTGAAAAGCTAAAATGTCCTAGAATTGAATTATGAAGTCTAGTTGACCATGCCCATTTTAAGTGACTGATGCACAGGTGGTAAATCTTTGAAGGCCCTGAAAATTCCTATTTGACTTTTAATTGGGCCAGATGCTACTGTCATTTCTGTCTTTCCTATAGTGGAAAATATTGTTCCAACTAACATATGAAGAAGATTTGGGAGTAAATTTGATGTACTACATACACACATTTCATTTGCCTTCTTCTCAAAACCCCAGTGAAACAGCAGTAAAAGAATGTACTTTTTTAAAGACATAAGCCCCCAAGTGTAGAAACAAAGAAGGGAAGAGAAAATGACAACACATTTGTGGGAGCTAGGAAGCACATGGACTGCTGGTAGTAGACTTAGCAGACAGAAGAAACCTGATCGTAAGTTGGCAGGAGAAAAAGCTGAGAATCAGCCAGACACACACCGCACAATACCCCTAAATCTTAAAAACGAATGTCCTAGGTACTTCTGAAAGTGGGGCAAGGAGGTCAATGTTAAAGATCATTAAAACCTGGTATAAAAAACAGAATCCGGGCCAGGCGCGGTGGCTCAAGCCTGTAATCCCAGCACTTTGGGAGGCCAAGGCGGGTGGATCACAAACAAGGTTAAGAGATCAAGACCACCCTGGTCAACATGGTGAAAACCCATCTCTACTAAAAATACAAAAAATTAGCTGGGCATGGTGGTGCGTGCCTGTAATCCCAGCTATTCAGGAGGCTGAATCAAGAGAATTGCCTGAACCCAGGAGGCAGAGCTTGCAGTGAGCCGAGATCGTGCCATTGCACTCCAGCCTGGGTAACAAGAGTGAAACTCCGTCTCAAAAAAAAAAAAAAATCAGAATCCTAGATCTTCCTCCCCCACCCCCAAACTATGCATTGCCTACCTTGAATATAACCCGGAAAGAAAAATGCAGAAATCCCTAGAGTGGGAAGTGCCAGGCTCCGTTAGGGCTAAAGTTATCATACCAAAATTAGGAGGACTAGGTGAATGTATGAATACTGGATGCTGAGACCCCTGGGGCTTCTTTTCCCTTTTAGTTCCCAGAGTACTAGAAGCCAGCCCTTTATCTTCCAGGAAGAAGACAGGAAGAAGCAGGTCAGGAAGGAATACATAATCGTGCTCAATGTTTCTTAAAACAAATAGCCTAGCCAGCTAACACTACATTGAAGACCACAGTCCAGCTAAGACATTGAAAACCACAGTCAGGCTAACACTACGTTGAAGACCGCAGTCAAGCTAACACTATGTTGAAGACCGCAGTCCAGCTAACACTACATTGAAGACCACAATTAACAATCATCAGTATTCTTACTGTGTTCATTCAACATGATAATGCCCATTCTTACACATAAGCAAATAACCCCAAATTATCAGATGCCAAAAGAGGCTTCTAACATGAAAAGTTTTTCAATTATGCACTCAACTTCTAAACACAAAAAATATTATTCAGATTTTTTACTTCTTCTTGTATCAATTTGGTAACACGTTTTCCCAAGAATTTATTTCATTTACATTTTAAATGTATTGGCATAGGAATGTTTGAGGAGGGAGGCAGAGCAAGATGGCCAATGGAAGCCTCCATAAATTGTTCTCCCTGCAGGAACACCAAATTTAACAACTATCTACACCATAAAGCAACTTCATTAAGAACCAAAAATCAGGTGAATGACCACAGTACCCGGTTTTAACTTTTAATCACTGAAAGAGGCACTGAAGAGGATAGGGAAGACAGTCTTGAATTGCTGATGCCACTCCTCCTCCATGCCCCAGCAGTGGCCTTGTGCTGAAAATCTGTTGCTTGTGGGAGAGCACAGTAACTGAGACTTCGCACAGGAACTTAATGCTTCCCTGTCACGGAAGACAGCAACACCAGGAAGAGCTCAGCTGGTGCCTGTGAAAGAGGCATTTAGACCAACCCTAGCTACAGGGGAATCACATATCCCAGCGGTTGGAACTTGAGATTTAGCAAGCCTTGCCACTGCCAGCTAAAGTGCTCTGGGATTCTAAACAAATTTGAAAGGCAGTCTAGGCCATGGGACTACAATTCCTAGGCAAGTCCTAGTCCCTGTGCTAGACCCAGAGCTAGGGGAATGGGGGACATGCAATCTAGTGAGACACTACCAGGGTGGTTAATGGAGTGCTTGCACCACCCCTCCCTCAATCCCAGGCAGCACAGCTTGCAGCTCCAACTTCCTATGGCTTGAGAGGAAACGGAAGAGTAAAGAGGACTTTGTCTTTCAACTTGGGGCCAGTTCAGCCACAGTAGGATGGGGCACTGAGAACAGTCCTGGGGCCCACATTCTAAGTCCTGGTTCCTGGACAAAATTTCTAGACACTTCTTGGGTCATAAGGGAACCTGTACAATTGAAGGGAAGGGTCTACTCTTGGCAGGATTCACAACCTCCTGACTAAGGAGCTCTTGGGCCCTGAGTAATAAGCAGCAGTAGCCAGGTATACACACCATGGGCCTTGAGTGACTCAGAGCCATGCTGGCTTCAACTGTGACCCTGCATGTTCCCACCTGTGGTAGCTACCAGGAGAGATTCCCTTCTGAGGAAAGCACAGGGAAGAGTAAAGGGGACTTTGACTTGCAGTTTAGGTACCAGCTTGACTGCAACAGTGAGGTCTTAGGGTCCCTGATTCCAGGCCTTGACTCTGGAAAGGAGCTCAAGCCTTGCATAGGCAACATGGTGAAACCCCGTCTCTACAAAAAAAAATATAAAAATTAGCTGGGTGTGGTGGTGCATGTCTATAGTCCCAGCTACTTGGGGGGCTGAGGCAAGAGGATCGCTTGAACCTGGGGGGTCGAGGCTGCAGTGAGCCAAGACTCTGCTGCTGCACTCCAGCCTGGCTGACAAAATGACACCCTGTCTCAAAAAAAACCAAAAAACAAAAAAAAACTGTAGAGACAGGGTCTCGCTATGTTGCCCATGCCAGTCTCAAACTTCTGGCCTCAAGCAATCCCTTTCTCAGCCTCCCAAAGTACTGGGATTTGCTCCTGCACCTGATCTAACCAAATTTTAATAGAAAAATCTTCTTAATACTTGGCTACTTGCTAGCTATTAAATCACAGGCTAACTTTGACTTAGTTTACTTTCTGGGGCCCACTGCTTTAAAGGGTAAGTCCCAGGCCTGGCAACTTTCACCACATGGCAGCAGAAGAGTCCTTGGGCCATGAGTGAAGATCAGCAAGTAGCCTGGCAGTACTCGCTGTTGACCTGTGGTGATGGTGGCTACAGGGAGAGGCTCTTCTGCCTGTGGAATGGGAAAGAGAGACAACACAACTGTGTATGAGAAGAGCTTTGTCTTGTGGTTTGGGTGCCAGCTCAGCTGCAGAAGAGAGCACTAGGTAAATTCTTAAATTTTCAGGCTTTTTAGACTCTGACTCCCACAGAACATCTCTGGACTCATCCAGGGCCCAGGGGAACTGACTGCTGTGAAGGGAAGGACACAAGCTTGGTTGGGTTTGCCACCTGCTGACTACTGTAGAGTCCCAGGGCCTTGAGCAAACATAGACAGTAGCCAGGGAGTGGTTACAATAGGCCTTGGGTGAGACCCAGTGCTGTGCTGGTTTCAGGTCTGACCCAGCACAGTCTCAACGTTGGTGCTTGTGTCATATGGTGCTTGGCCATATGGGTGCTTGTGTCTCCCCTCTCCTAGCTTCAACTCAGCACAGAGAGAGTCCATGTGTTTATGAGAAACAAAGGGAAGAGAAGAAAACAACTTCCCTTGCAATTTAGAGAAGTCTTCTGGACTTTATCCAAGACCACCAAGGCAGTATCTCTATGAGTCTGAAAGAGCTACATTACTGGGCTTCTAGTGCCCCCTAAAGCAGATACAGTTGCAGTGACCAAAAACTTAGATTGCAACATCGAAGTCTCTTCAAATATCTGGAAAGCATTCCCAAGAAGCAAGGGTACAAACAAGCCAAGACTGTGAAGACTATAATAAATACTTCTCAGTGCCCACACACTGACAAACATCCACAAGCATCAAGACCATGTAGGGTATTGAATGGTGTCTAGGTAGCAATCAATAAAATAAAATAAAAAATAAAACCATTCAGAAAACATGACCTTACCAAATAAACTAAATAAATCACCAGTGACCAATCCTGGAGAGACAGAGATATGTGACCTTTCAGACAGAGAATTCAAATAACTGTTTTGAGGAAACTTAAAAAAAAAATTCCAGATAACACCAAGAAAGAATCCAGAATCTTATTAGATAAATTTAACAGAGATTGAGATAATTAAAAAGAATCAAGCAGAAATTCTGGACCTAAAAAAATGCAGTTAATATGCTGAATAATGCATCAGAGTCTCTTAACAGCAGAACTAATCAAGCAGAAGAAATAATTAGTGAGCTAGAAGACAGGCTAGTTGAAAATACACAGTAAGATGAGACAAAAGAAAACAGAATAAAAAGAAGAAAGCACACCTCCAGTGTTACTGCAAGAGACCAGTTCAGCTGGATTTCTTCGATCATATCGTTGGTCTCTGTCTGTACTCATATTGCTATAATCCTTTCGGCAGTGGTTAAACTTTTTAAAATGTAAAATGGGTCATTTCAATTCATTGCTTAAACCCCCGAAAAGGTGTCTCTTTACATTTATGCTTTAAAATAAAATAGAATGACATTTAACACCCTAACTATGGCTGACAACACCATCACGATCCAGCCTCTAGCGTCTTCTCTCTGGCACTAGGGTCTGTCTTAATGCTCACTCCACTCTAGTCAAGCAGCCTTCCTACTTGTGTTCCTGGACCAGACCCAGCTTGTTTTCTCTTGGCTTTAAACTTGTGTCATACCCTCTGCCTAAAATGCTCTTCCTTGAAATGTCCCATGGCTTGCCCCTTAATGTCATTTAGGTGTCTCTCTGAGAGTCATGCCTCAGAAGGACCTGACCCAACCTAAGAGAGGTTCTCTCCCATCATTCTCTACTCTAATCTTATTTTAGTTTTTCCCCTATAACTTGTCACTTTCCAAAATTATGTATGTATTTGTTTTTATATTTATTTTGGCACAGGGTCTCCCTCTGTTTCCTGGGTTGGAGTGCAGGGGTAGAATGGTAGCTTACCGCAGCCTTAACCTCCCAGGTTCCAGCCATCCTCCTGTCTCAGCCTCCTGAGTAGCATGCACCACCATGCCCAGCATTTTTCCTTTTCTTTTTCCAGAAGAGATGAGGTCTTGCTGTGTTGCCCAGGAAGGTCTCAAACTCCTGAGCTCAAGCAATCCTCCTGCTGGGCCTTCCAACACATTAGGATTACAGGTATGAGCCTGGCCCATTTATTTTTCAGTTTGCCTCCCTCACTAAAATTTGAGCTTGGGCCAGAAGTTGGTGGCTCACACCTATAATCCCTGCACTTTGGGAGGCTGAGGCAGGAATATCACTTGAGCCTAGGAGTTCAAGACCAGCCTGGGCAGGATGGCAAGACCCCATCTCTCTAAATTAAAAAAAAAATTAAAGAAAATTTAGCCAGGCTTGGTGGCTCACACCTCTAGTCCCAGCTACTCAGGAAGGTGAGACAAATGGATTCCTTGAGCCCAGGGGTTCAAGGTTGTGGAGAGCTGTGATCACATCACTGTACTCTAGTCTGGGTGACAGAGTGGGACTCCCATCTCTAACAAAATAAAATAAAAATAAATGTGCTTTATGAGGGCAAGTGTTCCATTCCTTACCACACTGTGTCTCCTTAGCATATATCCAGTCCAGGGTCCTATCCCTATCTAATAGCATCCTCTGTATTTATCTCCCTTTTATTAACTCTCACTTCCAGAATTCTATAAGCTCCTCAAGGGCAAGAATTATTTTCTAATCTTCTCTGTCCCCAGAACCCAAAACAGTGCTTACACAGTATTTATGCTCAGCAAATATTTGCTCAATAAATGAATGCTGTGTATCATTTAGTGGGTTTTTTGGTGTTTTCCACCTTACCTTGACTGCTTTTTGAATATTTATGCATGAATCTCTTATGGTCTTCAGTAACTTATTAAACCGTCCCATCTCTTGGACAAGTACAGTGTTCATGCTCTGTGTATAAGTTGTTGGGTATCTCCTCATAGCAGCCTCAACATCAAAGTTGTTTGGAAGTTTGCCCAAGATGTCACCAGCAACCTCATTCACTACTTCATCTGATGATTTTGCACCAGCACCTGCTGAACGAGACTATGAAAAATCCAAACTATAACTTGAAAATCCTCATAAAGGTTTGAGCATAGCTGAACAGGAAAAATCCTAAGGTAAATCTTTATAAGAAAGAATTGCTCTGCTATTTTATCCATGATCCCTCACCACACAAGATTTATTACAGTGATGGTAACAGGAAGAAGGATAGATTTTCAAGAGAAAACTATTGTTAGGGAGGAGGAATAAGGGCATGTAATGTGTTCAGAGGCAAACGAGGATCTGAATAAAGCAGATAAGCTGTATGTTTGGCTGCCTGGGTGCAGGGGGAGGAGCAGATGCTGCAGATAGTGGTAGAAAAAGCACTGCATTGGTGGAGTGGCCAACTGATGACGGGCATTAAAACCAGAAGGGGGAAATCTCATCTTGCTTTGAGAAAGCATGCCACAAAATATATTTGCTAATAACTTTGGTGTCTACTGGGTGCCAAAAGCAGAGATATAGTTTTCTCCTTGAACCAGGAGAGCAAAGAAAATAAGCTCATCTCCTCTTAGCAGTGGAAGAGTTATGGAGAAAAGACAGACTTTCCTGATTCACGTTAGAAGCAAGGAAGGAGAATTTCAATTCCATTTTTGTTTTCTATATTTATAGTGGCATTGTGTAAATGAATCTATATTTTCTGGGGAAAAAAACTATTAAGTCCTCAGAACAAATGAACATGGGGTGTGTCTGTTGAAAGAGAACAAGTATTATTAGAATATAAATATATCATGTTTTCTCAGTCCAAAGAAATTGTGTTTAGTCATCTTTTAGATTTTATGTTTCCTGGTTTCTACACTATAAATATTAAATATTCTCAAAATCTATTCTGAAAATATTAACTATTTTTACCTAAGTTTCTACTGTGACTTCTTTTTTTTTGAGGGGAGTCTTGCTCTGTTGCCCAGGCTTTTGAGTACAGTGGCACAATCTCTGCTCACTGCAATCTCTGCCTCCCAGGTTCAAACACTTCTCCTGCCTCAGCCTCCCAAATAGCTGGGTTTACAGGTGCCTGCATCACACCTGGCTACTTTTTGTATTTTTGGTAGAGACAGGGTTTCACCATGTTGGCTAGGCTGGTCTCGAACTCCTGACCTCAGGTGATCCAACTGCTCTGACCTCCCAAAGTGCTGGGATTACAAGTGTGAGCCACCATGCCTGGCCTCTATTGTGACTTTTAACATTACTTACCACATACCACCATAATATCCTATAAAGTTACACAATAAAATAATTACATATTGGTAAGTTTTAATTATGTGCTATTAAAAATGAGATACACTCATATAATAATCCTTTATTATGATTCCTTAGTACCAGGTTTGCAACGAAATATATAAAACAAATCATAGAGAATGAAAAGCAAGTATTTGGCTAAAACTAATGAAATCTCTAATTCCATTATACTTAAGGAATCATATGCTGCTTTCCAGTAGTATTGTGGTATACATAAAAGGCAGTAAAAACTCATTAAAATATTCCTATTTTCTAAAAAGAGCTGGGCCTCTTGGTGGCGGGGGAGGGATTTCCAGGTCTATAGTTTCAAAAACTAAAAAAAAAAAAAAAAAAAGTAATGCATACATTCCCCTTACCTATTTCTCACACACAAAGATCACATGATTAGGGTGATAGGTTTTTGAAACTAATATCCAACTGATACCAAAAATTAAGACCAGTTGGGTCCTATTTACTTACAATTATTTACCTCAGCTTTTTCCTTTTTACCACCTTTCTTTAGAGTTATCACAAATAGCATTTAAAATCTTCTAAGGGTTATTTTCCTCTTAAAGATAAGTAGAATTCATCTTCATTTTCAAAGGGACATTAGAGAGTTTAACCTTTTCAGATATCCTAGACTATATCTAGTTTCATAATATTCTAAGTTGAAACAAGTTTCCTATTCAAATTAGCATGTGGCAGTTAACCACAAGCAAAGGAGCTCTGCTCAAGTAAACATCTTAGCTCTGATAGCTTCCTCTTTTATTTTTTCTAAGATAAATTAGTTAAATACAAAAAGTCTTGTCATCATTAACTTGCTCTCCAAGCTCTGCAGTTCTGGTCTCTTTACCTCTGAATTGTGATAAACCCAATCTAGAATCACTGAACTACTGCTTACTCATTACTATAATTGTATTTGCCAACCTGAGTTTGAGGACTGAAAGAGATTGTTTAATTATATACTGAAAACATACCCCTTGTGTATTTAAACTTATTTGTTTGTCTTGGAGTCATTTTCTATTGGAGTGAGCCCACTGTTTTACATATTCTGTAATGTGGCACACCCCATCAAGTTTAAGTAAAGCCAAAAGACACTGTAAATGTTCTGCTGTCAGACTGTGGTGTATTAAATGCAATCTAATGCTCCTAAAGAACTACTCATTTATGTTTCCACATATGCTTTTATGCCCAGGTAATAACTAATTTTAGTGCTATCAATATCTACAATGGATGCAAAAATAGTCTTTGTTCCTCTTGCCTTATTAGAAAATGTCAGAGTAGAGCAGAGATAGGATTTCCATGGATTCTTCCATTAGTAATAGCATACCACATTATCCTTCTAATTTTTAGCTTTTTAAGAATCTCTGGCTATCTGCCTTCTATATCTCATCCCACTTTCGGAATCTAGAAAGAGAATATAGTATAGTGGTTTAGAACACAAGACTCTGGAGCCAAACTGGTAGGAGCCAGACTGCTTGGTTTTGAGTCCTGACTTGAAATTGTACTAGCTGACTATGGCCAAACTACTTAATCTTCCTGTGCCTCAGTTTTCTCACTGTAAAATGGGAATAGTAATAGCTAGACCCCATTCATAGGATTGTCATTAGCATTGCATTGTTACACATAATAGCACTTAGAGCACCACTAGCACAGAGTAAGCACTATACAAAAATGTTAACTGTTGTCATTTTTACTGAGATGCCATAAAAAGAAAAAGATCAGTTAGAATTCCAGTTAATAGGATAACTTGCTTGACTGATTATTCTTTCTTAATTCATCAAAATTTTATTGAATCACTATGGGAATTCTTGCCATTTGGACTAATTTGCTTTCAAAAAACAAATTAACAACTGAGCATATCTTCTAAAGGAAGAACAATACAACAGAAGGTCTCTTAATAGACAAGCAACATTAGCCAATGTTTTTCATTAAAATGTACTGACCTGTGCTTATAGCAGCTAAATTCTGATGTCTTCACAGATTGTTTTCCTACATGCCAATGCACTTACGCACTCTCCAGTAGAACTGCATTTACAAATTCTTCTCCTACACTTTTATATTCATTTTGTACTCACTATTGCAATTATCTTTTAAATATTATACTAATATAAATCTGATAAAATATTAGTGTGAATGAAACTGTGTCTATGTAAATCAGGTTAAATGTTCTGGAATAGCTGTTGAAATACTAGGGGACTGGAAATTAAAATAGGTAAAATTTTAGACAAATTCCATCATCAAACTGCTTCCCCAGTATCTTTGAAATTTTTCTTCCACTTTTTGTTTGAGACGGAGTTTCGCTCTTGTTACCCAGACTGGAGTGCAATGGTGCGATCTCGACTCACCGCAACCCCCGCCTCCTGAGTTCAGGCAATTCTCCTGCCTCAGCCTCCTGAGTAGCTGGGATTACAGGCACGTGCCACCATACCCAGCTACTTTTTTTTGTATTTTTAGTAGAGATGTGGTTTCACCATGTTGACCAGGATGGTCTCGATCTCTTGATCTCGTGATCCACCCGCCTCGGCCTCCCAAAGTGCTGGGATTACAGGCGTGAGCCACCGCACCTGGCCCTTTTCTTCCACTTTAAAGAAATTTAAAAGAAATACAATGTATGATGCATTTGGGCAAGGTTTATGCAAAAAAGGCAAAATGAAACTCTTAGAAGCAGAATGATACTCAAATAGGTCTTGGTTCCCAGAAAAAGATTGATGAAAAAAAAAAACCCGATATGTTCATGTACTTAGTGTTCAAATCCATATTCAAGTTGTACACACATTTTTGTCTTTTCCTTTAAATGTTTCTCCACTTGAAGAGAATTACCTAAGGAAGCCTGTTCAGTGCTGGCACATGCTACCTGGGGAGCATCCTTCCCAGGCCTCAGAAGCTGGCTCCTATACAGATCACACACCTGTGTAAGAAGAATGTTATCAAACAGCAGTTGAGTCTCGGACTGATCCTTAGTGATATCTGCATTGGCATTCATCCCAAAGATTTCTGGTGCTGGGTTCAGTGGCAGAGTCTTTGTGTATTCAATGTAGCTTTTGTGCTGCAGAGATGAATAACAAGCAGTCAGGAGGTTAGAAATCAATTATACTCTAAAACTTTTCACAGAAAGGAGTTAATTTTCAATACTCTAGTTATTGAGGAGCTAGGCCTATACGGCTGGACACTGAGCACTTTCACTTTCTTTTAGCCTGGGCCAAAGTTAAAAAATATATGAACATATTTAGAGAGAAAAAGAAAATGTACCATTCAATTGGAATGGATTTTTTAATGGGGGTGGGGAACCCTGGTAACTTTATTTAGAAATTACCTACTGAGAAATCTTTCTGTGTCATATTTTGCTGATGGCTATTCTTAATTTATCACAATAAAAATACTTCTTTTCTGATTTACTCTGTTTGTGAAAAATCCACCCAATTCATAAAATTTAAAATTCTGTTATTCTGAGATAATCACCATTAACATTTATACTTCTTTTTATGCATACATACGTATTTTATATTTTATTTAAACTGACTTCTATTAAAATTGCATACCTTCTTTGACACTCATATAATCATATACAAACATCCACACACAGACATGGCAAAGGGGGGTTTGGTCATGGATGGCTTTACTCTTTGGGTCACGTTACAAACACCTTACTTTGTCTTGCTCTTTTCTCACTTGGCAGTTCATCATTAGAGATCTTGTTACCTCAGCTCCCTGGTTGACTTGCTGTACCCAATCTGTGACCTAGGCTTTAGGACTGTTTTTTCCCCTTTATCTATACCTACATCCACCCTCAGCTAGCATTAATCCTAGTGGAAGATAGGGTTAGGATTGGGGGATTACAGTATATGTTGCTGTTGCTTGTATTTAACTTTCAATGTATGCCCTTTGACTTCTGGGAATAAATTGAGAAAGAATGTGATTGTCCCAGCAATCTCTAGAAATCCACTGTGATCACCAGAAGGCAGTGGCCATGACTCGAGAAGAGCAGAAGGGAATCTTGGACTTGGGCTGCAGGTGGTTCTGTGACTTGCTGCCACCTTCTTTCTGTTTTTTTGTTCTTTTTTTTTTTTTTTTTTTTCGAGACGGAGTTTCGCTCTTGTTACCCAGGCTGGAGTGCAATGGCGCGATCTCGGCTCACCGCAACCTCCGCCTCCTGGGTTCAGGCAATTCCCCTGCCTCAGCCTCCCGAGTACCTGGGATTACAGGCACACGCCACCGTGCCCAGCTAATTTTTTGTATTTTTAGTAGAGACGGGGTTTCACCATGTTGACCAGGATGGTCTTGATCTCTCGACCTCGTGATCCACCCGCCTCGGCCTCCCAAAGTGCTGGGATGCTGCCACCTTCTTTCTTACCTGTGTGGCCTTAGGCAAATTATTATACTGTAATGAACCTGCTTTCTCACTTGGGATAAAATAATAATAATGTTAATTTGATAGTGAGATCATTACTTGCAACTGACTTCTAAATAATTGTAATATAAATATTAACTATTACTGCTAATAATATTTTGCTAATAACATCTCTTATGTATTTTCATTTTAACAGGGGACAATATCTTTTTAGCCAAAAGGCTGAATTTATGATGACAGAACTTCAGGTTGCTGAAAAAGCTATTCTTGAATGAGAAATTTTCTGATACTCTTTATGTTACAACAAACAGAAAACCTCTAACTCCACCTATAGCGTGAGCTTTGTTCTATCACTATATGACGGAAGAAAGCACAGATAAGGGTAACAAAAAAACAAAGCCTGCAGGAAAATCACCATTTAAAAAAATATCACCACCAAAATAATTTCATGTCTTACTACTTTTAGTTTTTTTGAAGGGCATACTTACATCACCAGAAGGAGGAACAAAATAGATGCCACTTGAGTCAAATTTATAGCCTGAATTTTCAACTAATTCTGGATTGAAGAATTTGTTTAGAATGCTGCGCAGCGTGCGCCGGTCCCAGTCGTCGGTCACTCTGCCTCCATAATTGCATTCGCCGATCATGTACCGCAGAGCATCATATGGTAGTTCCTAAAATAGAGAGCGCATGTCGGTCAACCAGTTCATCAGCAGCATGTTTTACAGAACCGTGTTTCTTGTTTGTTCCTATTATTAAATTAAACATCTTACGAGTTGTGTGCATTAACACAGCTTCCCTTCGTATGCTTCCCTGTTAATTGTTGCCATTTTTCCTAGTGTCGTTCTCTTCTTTTCTGGCTTTTTATTTCCATCCAGTCAATGGTGAGACTGGAACTCCTCTATTAACTCATGAATTTATTGTCTATCAATCAAAATTATTTCAATACTTACTGTGTGCCAAATACAAATGAATTAGATCATAATGTCATCTGTGAAAATGTTGCAATGCTGAGTAAGATGCAAAGCAGATACAGTATAATTCAGAGAGCCGGGCATGGTGGCTCATGCCTGTAATCCCAGCACTTTGAGAGGCCAAGGAGGGAGGATCACTTGAGCCCAGTAATAGCTGAGATCATGCGATTGCACTCTAGCCTGGGCAACTCTGTCTGAAAATATAAATATGTCTGTCTCTGTCTCTGTCTCTGTCTCTCTGTCTCTCTCTCTCTCTCTCTCTCTCTCTATATATATATATATATATATAATATATGTAAAATATATAAAATATATATAAAATTATATATATATAATTTATTCTTATACTAACATAGTAATCTCTTGAGAATGTTTTCATCATTTTTGTGCTTTCTATGTTCTTCTTACTGTTAGCTACTAAAATCTAAAGTGTTCAATCTTACCCAAGGGGGGAAAAAGATCTAAAGTGCATAGATCCCACATTCTAGTGATCCCACTTTCAAGTAAAAACAGTAGCACTAGGTTAAGTAGTAGTGATTAGAGAGGAGAAAATTTATTGAATTAGGGACTAGAAATTTTAAGACTTGCTATTTAGTAGAACATGAATTTAGTAAAACAAGTATCAGTGACAAAGCCCTTGTGAAAAAACAAACGAATCAGGAAGAACTGCAGAATATTTACATGCTTCCAACTGCTAATGTGAGCAGTTTGATGAGATGCACACACTGCTTGGCCTTGTGCTACTGATAGGCCCCCATCCCATAAAAATGAAAAATAAGAAAACTCATATGCAAATCAAGTAAGTAGTAAATGAGGCAGAGGTGGATCAGCTAGTGCCTGAGAAGGCTTCGTGTTATAGACATAGATGAGATGTGGAGGAGGAGAATTGCATACGGGTTATACTTATGCAACGTGCCCCTGAGAGTCCACAAGGTAAATGCTATCTGTTGTTTCTCTCAGCCGCTGGGTCAAAACCAGAGCCAATTAAACAGAGGAGTGTTTTCTCCAGGGGCAGGTGGGTTGGTGGGCATGTAGACTGACCAACATTTCTAGAAACAGTAGCAGTTTGCTGCTTGAATTGCTTCCCTGTTCCTTGTTACAAGAGGGTTGAGACAATGAGCAGCTGGAGAGATAAGATGAAAACAGGTCTTGAAGTCAACAACTAGTATTCACGGTTCTATAAGAAGTTCATTTGAAACTTAATTAGCAAAAAACAAACAGAAGAGAAAAGAAAATCTTAATTACCAAAAAAGGAGAAATGCCGTGTAAGCGGGCATTAAAACAAAGATCTCTACTTTGAAAGTTATCTACAACATATGTAGAGTAAAAAAAGTAAGCTGAAGATTAACATGTAGACTATGTCTTTGAGAAAAAAATTGTGTGTATATTGTGTTTATATATGTGTATCTATAGATACACAGGAAAATGTCCAGGCACAGATACCCCAGGCTGTGAAAATGGTTGCCTTGAGGATCAGTTAGGGTCAGAATGGGGGGTGAGAGGTGGGTCTTATGTGCCCACATGCGCGTGCGCACTCACACACACACACACCCCTACCAAAACAAGAATGACAAAGCAATTGTCCATCTGCCAAGTAGATAATATAAATCCACCTAAATTTTCTTCTTTCATACTTTAATTTCTTCTATTTAGCCTTTTTTGATCTAACAGCAATTATATATGAAGAATCTACTTTAGCAAATAACCCATTATTCTAACTTCATTTATTGAATACCTCTTCTGTTTTCTATTCATTTTAAATGCTGCTATTAAGCCAAATTTCTACATATAGTAGTGTTGCCATTTTTGTTTCTGAGAGCTTGAAGATCTTCCCACTTAATTATCATTCAGTCATTAAACAGACACTCACGGAGTCTGTAAAACTACATACGTTGTTTTAGGCACTGAGAATGCAGAAGTAAACAAATCAAAGTCACCATATGTTCTAGTGGTTCATGATTTGGCAAAATGTGCTCTACTTCTTAGCAAAAGTTTGCAGTTCCCAGTAAACTACATGCATCACCAACTCTGTTAAGGCGGCCAGAGCAAACTGGGGCCTGGGCACCCATGTTTCTGATCACTGTGCCAAGAATCTTAGGGACAGGATCACAGAGATATGAGCAGGTAAACCACAGAAAACTGAAAAAAATCTGGAATCCCCTCTTGCTCTTATAAGATTATCACCGTAGTGATAAGGATTCTCAATGTGAGGCTGGACAGAGTGAGTCTCAGCCACAGTGGATGCAGAAATGTGCTGAGGGGAGGCAGATGTGGTTCCTGCATCTGAGTTGACTGTTTGAGAAGGAGTCCCAAAAGTGGACAAGGATTGAACATAGGAAAGGGTACTCAGAATAGGAGAAAGAACCAAAGCTCAGAGACGTGAAAGAACACATTACACAGGGAGAAGAGCAAGGAAACTGTAGTAACACAGTGCAGGACAGGGGATGGAGCCAGGAGCTGGCAGGTGGTGGGAGGAGGACACAGGTGGAAAGGGATAAGGAGTAACAGCATCAATGACTGCCAGAGTTCTAGCTTGGGGGTTGGGTGGATGGTGGTTCCATTACTTTGATGCAGTCAAAGAACAGAAAATAGAGAACAGCAACATTTAGTAATTCTTCATGAAAGCACGATTCCATAGAGTAATCACTCTTTATTTTTTCTTTCTTTCCAAATTTTTGTATATTCCTTGACCTATTACCTTTTACAAAGCACATAATGTTATATCAGCTCCATGGACACCCAGCACGAGACCAGAAATAAGCGCTTGAAGTATTTCAGCCATAACACTTGTACGCCAGGGATCACTTTTGGGAAATATCTGTCCCTTCAAGTTCTATTAATGTTTGATTCCTCTTGAAGGCCTACAGTTTGCCAATAGATTTCACCTTCCTAAGGGCTTGCTTTTGCTCTTTATTCCTGACTGGGGTGGAAGGAACCTACCAAGGCCAAATTTCTAAGACATAGAGCAAGGGCTTTTCAAATTCTTCAACCTTATTTTTTTTTCCAGTTAAATTTTATTCATAGTAACTTAGAGCATATATATTTTATTCCATTGCCATAAACAATATGCTGGACCTACTTAGGACCCAGTAGAGCATGTCCTGGTATAAATTAGGAGGTCCTGCATTTTCCCCTACATATCCATTGTATCTCTACCACGTTCCCTAATCTTGCTCAAATGATTTAGTTTAGACTCTTACTGTCACCTGTGTGGGTTATCATGGCAAGTCTCCTATATTATTTTCCTATGGCACCAATAGGTGGCTTAACATGATAAAAGTGTATTGTCTAACAGTGCTGGAGTCTAGACGTCTGAAATCAAGGGATTGGCAAGGCCACACTCTCTCCCAAGCCTCTGTAAGGATCTTTCCCAGCTCCTCTAGTTGCAGCTCCAGGTGTCCCTTGGCTTATGGCAGCACAACTCCAGTCTCTGCCTCTGTCTTCACATGGCTGTCTTCCCTCTCTGTGTGTGTTCAGATTTCCCTTTTATAATGACACTCGTCATATTAGATTAAGGGCCCACCGTTCTCCCATATGACCATGTTTTAACTTAACTAATTACACCCACAATGGCCCCATCCCAAAATAATATCACATTTTGAATTACCATGAATTAAGACTTCAATTCAACTCCTAGCATCTCCTGAAACCCGCCTGTCAGCTAAGTCTCTCTAAATCCACTGTCCATTCTTTTGCAAGAGTGATCTTTTTAAAATGCAAAAACAGTCTCTGAAAAGTACACGAATAACAATAGAATAACCACCAAATTAGTTAGCACGGCATGTTCCAAATCACTTATAGCTAACCAATTTTTTTCACTGATTCGTACAGTTTTTTAAAAAAGACTATTTTTGTAGAACACTTTTAGGTTCACAGCAAAATGGAACAAAAAGTATGCGGTTTTTCCACATATTCCCTGTCCCCATACATGCATAGACTCCCCCAGTATCAACATCCATGACCAGAGTGGCACACGTGTTACAAATAATGACCCTACACTGACACATCATTCATTAAGACTCAAAGTCCCCAGCTGACATTAGGGTTCACTCCTAATTGATGAATAGCAATGGCGCCAGTGGCCCCCATGGACTTCACTGTGGCCGAGGACCAGCCCATCAACCTGTGTGACAAGCTGCCGCCAGCCATGGTGCTTGGCAAACCCTACTACCCCTCTGATGGCTGCAGCACTGACTGGCTGTGGAACCCTGTCAAATACAGGGTGAAGACCACCCGAGGTGTGTAGGGCTGGGGGCACATCTCTGTCTTCTCTTTGGGTTTAGTGTCTTCCTTCATCTCCACCTTGGCAGGATCCTCCTTCTCTGGGTTGCTGCTTTTTTCTTACCTTCAGCCTCTTCCTTCTTGGCTTCGACTTTGGATTCTTTGGACTTTTTTTCAATGACAGGTTCCTTTTTTTTGTTTTTCGTTTTTTTCATTTTATAAGCACTTGGTTTTATTGCACAGATGCAAAGTGGACTTTAGTGGAAAGTGTGCCCTGGCATAATCCAGTGGCCAGTGCCCGGACCTACCTGGGTCACTCTTCCAGAATAGAGAGCTCTGGGCAAGGGCTTGACCACTCCTTTGGAAAACAGAAGGCATTTGGGAATAGGTTATCTCAAGAATAATGTGTTGCAATTGCTCATTCATCATTGCAGTCATCTGTCAGTTGCACACAGAAGCAATAAATGCACTTATCTGGA